CAAATTGATGTTAATACTTGCTCTAGCCCAGAACCATCAGCGAAGGCAGATTTTTTTGAAGAAGGGATTCTGCAGTGGCTTCTGGAGAATTCCATTCCTCTCTCCACCTCATTGGAATGGCTCTGACTTGGCTCACCTGGACACGTCTGGACAATGCAATTCAGATTAATTCAGTCTGAAGTTCTATAGGCAGCAGGGTGCTCCAGAGTGCCTGGGTGTGGCATGTGCCCACCAGCATGACAAGGTAGGGAAGGTTCCCATCACACCCACGTGACTACAATCCCCGGTGAAGAAGGAAAGACAGGGGGTGACCTAAGAGACGCAAGAACACAAGAGCCACGGGCACTCAAAGGGGGGCCATGGTCAGGGATGGGAGTCGGGGAGGGCTTTGTGGAAGAAGGGCATGTTCCTGGTGGGTTTACTATACATTCGAAGATTGAAGGGACAGCCTTCGAGAGCCATAGAAGAGAACCCCAAGAGGCAGAGGGGAAGGGGCTGAGAACAGAGGTGAGGCCCCCTGTCTAGCACCGTGGAGCTTTCTGACTTGGCCTCAGTTGGAGCTCAGGGGCAGCAGTGAGTTCCCCGCAGCACTGTGCCCAGCTGAGAAATGGAGGCAGCCACACAGCACAGCTCGTGTGTTACAGGAGGCAGAGGAGAGGGCCTGGGGAGGGTCTAATGAACAGGCTGCACTTGAGAGGGACTGATGGGTTAGGCAGGAGAAGGAACAGATGGGCTTCTATCAGGTGGCTTGGGGACCTGGATCATGACTATTCCTGGAGGTAAGGAAGGACTGCAGATGAGACCACCTGGGAAGAGTGGAGGTGAGCAGAGTCAAGCTGAGGGTGATGTGGGTTTTAGGGAGAGTAGTGGAATCTACTGAGGCTCTGAAGCTGGGCCCCCAGCCCAGGGGGAGATAGCCACAGCCAGGCACAGGGAGCTGCGGTGGACACAGGATGAAGCCACAGATATGTTCACAGTGGACAGTGAAGGCTGCCACTGAAGGAGCACTTATGACCTGCAGGTGCTATGCCCCCATGACCCACGTGTGCTGGACTAGGCTTTCCTACCACCCTGCTCTGGACTCAGCCTGGAAGGCAGAAGCCACGACAAGCTGAAACACTCTAATTCCAAGTATGGGTGGCCTTGGAGCATGACCCGATCCACCTGGGAGCTGACCACTGCACAGTAGTGGAAGGAAGCCTCACTGTGGCTTCCCGGTGGCTCTGGTAGACTGAACAGACAGAGCCTGACTTGGGAGGAGGAGATAGCCCCTCGGGTGGGAGTGTGGGTAACTGAGAGACTGTGGCCAAGCCCAGCCTCCTGCCGACTCTCCTCACTTCCTTAGGTCTCAGCTTCTTACCACCCCCTGCTCCTCTGTCTAAGGAGCGTCTGTAACCTCAGGCACCCCCTGCCCCCGGCTGCTTTTGTCGTCTTAGAGCTATACCACATGGCCTCGACTGCTGACCTCAGAGTAAGTTCCACTTAGTAGCCACAAATACGCTTCACCTCGCCTTAGGCTCCTCTCTGGCCCCTCCATCGCCCTGCCCTGCCTACCCCCATCATCCCGTCATAGCTGGACTGGTGTCCTCAGCTCTCTCTCACCATTGCCTTCCCCTCACCCACTCTGTGCCTCCATTCACTGCACCATTTCTACTTGGCCCGTTGGCACAGAACAATCCACGGATCTCCCCAGCCAGGGACCTTCCATGTCCCCGGTGTGGGAGTCAGTCTACCACCCACGGGTTTCCAGGACAACCCAGGCAAACCTCTTTCACGGCACTAAGCAAACCCCACTGTCATTGCCTCCTCACCTGCCTGCTTCCCCACAAGGTGGGGAGACCAGGGCCATGGTCCAGCACAGAGCAGCTTCTCAAACAAGTTTTAAAGATGGAGAATTCCTTATGTCCCCACTACAGCCACATGCAGGTGGACCAGGCGGCTCCCAGGAGGAGAAAGAGAGTTAGGCATTGGGTTTAGTGGCTTCAGGAGTTCAGACTATAGGTGACAAGGGCAAAGACAGGCTGGACACTGCAGCTAGGACCTTCGGTGCTGCCTCCTGGTCCCTCCGCAGTCCCTCACTGCTTGTGAATGTCCTCCTGCCTAACCCTCGTTAGCATGTACACTAGCATGCACACACGGGCACACACGTCACTCTGCCCTGAGCCGGGTCATCAGCACGTACACTAGCATGCACACTCGGGCACACGCGTCACTCTGCCCTGAGCCGGGTCGTCAGCACGTACACTAGCATGCACACTCGGGCACACGCGTCACTCTGCCCTGAGCCTCCCGGCTGCTTGGATTTCATGAAGCATAGCTGGCCCCTGGGCCTCACCTCATCATCCCCACAGGCCCAAGGACCCTCTTCCCCAGCACCGCGGGCGGCCAGAGCTCCCACCTGCCCAGACCGCTGGACCAGCCCTGATTACCGGCCGCCGCCCCGGCACCAAAAGCAAACCGCGTCTTCATTTTACCCGACGCCTTGACGCTGTAGCCAGAGCTCGTTCACGCATATGATTTATTAACTAATTTAGCATGTAAGAAAAACATCTGCATTTTGCTTTTATCATCTTGCCAGCAGACAGGCTGAAGACAAGATGTGCACTGTAGACTTGTTTAATGGGGCCTTAAACGCTCCCTCTCACTCGCCCCAGCGCACGGAGGCTCTGGTTTCAGAAGTTGTCCAATTTCCCTGACCCAACACAAATAAACACGCAAGGAAAGCTGTCGTCAACATAAATACTGCAGGGACAGGTCAGCATGGCTGTAAAATCCATGCTGGTCAAGTTCCACCGAGAGCGTGCCAGTCACCAGGACTGTTGGAAATTGAGGAGGAAAAGGTGCTGCTGTTATTTAAAACTATGAACTGGGCACAATCGCCTTTTATTATGTACGACTTAAAGATTTTCATCTAAAGGAATGCAGACGCGTAAGCATGTTCCTTTGGGGCAAACACACGGTTGGATGATGCAGTGAGTAGAATTGGGTCTCCTCAAAATAGACGTTTCAGTCCCGCCCCCCCCCCGGGCCCCGTAACTGTGAACGGCTTTGTTTGGAAGGAAGGTCTTTGCAGATGTTGTCAGGCTGGGATGAGGTCATACTGGATTAGGGCAATCCCTGTCCCAGTGACGAGGGTCTTCACGAGAAGAAGAAATTAGAGCACAGAGACACCAGGGCAGAAAGCTGCAGGAGGACAGGGACAGAGATTGCAGGGCTGTGTGTATGAGCTGAGGATATCAAGGGCTGCCAGGAGCCTCCAGATGGGGAGAGAGGCACAGGAATTTCCTCTGAGCCTGCAGAAGGAACCAGCCTGATTTTGACTTCTGGCTTCCAGAACAGTGAGAAAAAATGTTTCTCTAAATAAGCCACCTCGTCTGTGGTCACTTCTCACTCCTGGGAAACCAACGCACGTGTTCAAAGCCAGCTCCCCCCCACCATCCCTGATATCTAGAGGATGGTACTCCGGGCTGCTGGTGGCCAGCCACGCAGCACCACAGGGAGGTGGTGGCTTAGGACAGGAGGACCCAGCACAGCGCCATGGCAAGCCCCTGATGCCTGTGTGTCTCCCTTTCTTCCCACTCCAAGTGAAGGGACCTGATTGAAAAGGAAGCCTCTCAAAGGCCAATCTGGGTGCGCCTGTGAATGATCCTGAGCGCCAAAGTAGAGTCATCCTGTATTTGTTGGCGACAGATTTGGTAGCTTAACCATTTTATCAGGCAAATATAGTCGCTGTCTACCCCGGGAGCCCCTGGTCGAGACTGGCATTGCATTTGGTCTTCACAGCACCCAGAGAAGTCTGTGTCTGAACCCAGACGGCTCTTTGTCAGCCAGAGACTAACAGCCTTCTGGAGAACACCCCCACACTCAGGCTGTGTCTGCCAGGGGCTTGGAACTTTGGGCAGGGAACATTTTTTCTTGGGAATTTCTTTGCACATCTTTTTTGCTGATTTCCTCAGTTCAGCGCACTGGAAAGTGTGAAGAGGAAGGAGCCGCAGGTGCTTTGCCAATTCTGAGCCACGAGTAGGATGTGTTCAAGTTCACCTTCCGCCAATGTCTTTAAATGGCTCTCCTAGCCCCACTCTGGCAGGAGGAAGGAGACCTACCCGCCCGAGGGGAGGTTACAGGGTGTCCGTTACAGCCCCTTCTCCTGTCCCGCAGGCGCCCTCAGAACATCTTGGGGACATTTGCTGAGCTGTACTTTATTGACTATGGTTATTTTCCCAGGAGACTTTTATTCAGAACTACACTCATGATTTCACCTCCTGGGGGCCAGAACATTTTCCTAAGAAGAAAGATCTCATTCCTCTATCCAAAGGAATCAAACTGAGGTTTCTCTGGGCCTCCAGATTTTAAGATTTGGGTTGGCAGGCCACAGCAGTGTGCTCCAATGTCCCTCACCCTTGCCCTCGCCTCTCTCTGTTATTCTTGCTGGTTTAATGGTCTGTTTATAAGCTCTGTGAAGAAAGGACTGAGGGCAGGCTTGCTCAGAGCGGTATTCCTGCCTCCAGCATGGCACCCAGAGAAAGTTCCTGATAACTCCTTCTCCAGTGAGTGAGTGGGCCCCCACCCCCACCCCCACCAGGGTCAGCTTGACACCAGCCCCGCAGTGCTGGGAAGCCGGCCATCTGCTCTCTGAGTTCACAGCAGGAAAGGGGTTTCAAGATGACGAATGTTGATGTAGACAAGCTGGAGTCAACCTCTCACCCCGAGATCTGTTTTGCAATCTATAAAGGGCAAAGGGGATCTCTTGCAAATATCTGTTAGGAGCCAAGAATTTGAACTTGCTACCCTGGCTGCTATAGCCGTGTGGCTTCTTTCCCAGCCGTAACAGTGAATTTGTGTCCCAAGTTACTTCTGCTGAGTTCGATGCCCATATGTAATCTTTTAAATGGTCTGGCCCCCAGAACAGGCTTTCTGTGTGAGTCCGTGGTGGCATCTGGAATCATCACCCCCAATCCAAGAATCACCCCCCTCCACACTCCCTGCCACCTGCCACTTACCACTGAGAGGGTGGGGAATGGTGAACTGCTTCTTGTTGGCACGGACGGGAAGGAGGCTCTGTTTCTGCCCCGGGTCCTCCTTCCGCTGCGCCCTCCTCTGCTGCACCATGTGCTCTAGCTTCCGCAGCCGTTCTTGGGAGCGAGAAATGAACTGAGGTTTGTGAACTTCCAGCGCTTCCTATTTGGAGCAAAGAAGATGTTTCACTGGTAAGAGAAGTGACATGGGAGGGTGACATATCCATCCCATATGGCCAAGAAATAGATGAACAGTGTGACACTCAGAGACCAATGCCGCAGTGCAGAAGCATGTCCCAATTCTCTCTCAGAGCCTGTATAAAGATGGTGATGACATGCTGGTGACACCGGTCCTGGTGGTCAGTCCTGGCAAGCACCAAGGGCCCTGTCAGCAGGACCAACCAGTAACCAGTGTCAAAGCTGAGACCGCAAAGGTGACATCTGCCCATGTATCCTTCTACCCTGTCAAATCATTCTTTCCAAATGACCAAAATCTGAGAGCCCTACACTCCATATTCCAAAGAGACATGGGTGGGGAAGGAATGGGGCTGCAATGAGTCACTTGCTTCTTCTGGGGACTGGAAGCCTTAAGAAGCCCAGACACAGGTCAGCCAGACAGGGTAAATAACTGTGGCTAAAGGAAACTACTCCTTCTGGGAGGAAAGCTTTGCCTCTGCAGAACAGTTCTGGGAGCTCCACAGAACAGGCCCAAAGTGCCCATGTCTCCCCTTCAGCCTCATCTCCCCACCTGCATGCATGGAACCACCCATGCAGGCCTCCTGGGGAAGACTCACTGCCAACTGCTCTGTGCCGGGTGCTGGGCTAGCTGCTCTGGGGAAATTCATCTCCTCCTGGAATTCCACAGGGATTCAAGAAGGCAAGCCTATTTCTCCCCATTTGACAGATGCAAAACTGAGGCTCAGGGTAGTTTGGGAGATCACATGGCAGCCCTGGCTGTCGGCGCCCTGTGCTTTTCCCCCATTGCCTTCCATTGTCTTAACTTGCCATGCTTTGAGTGTCTCTGCTCAAAGTTGTCCCCTTGCCTGGAGGGACACCCAGTCACACCCATCGGCCTACCCTGTCTCCCCCCCGATAAGCCTGATTACAGGGTCCTGCTCAGTCCAATCATCCTGGCCTTTTCCTGATGGCCTGGAGCAAGAGTGACTTTACATGTTTTATCTCCACGCTAGGCTATGACCTCCTGGAAGCACGGGCCATGTCACATTGACAACACACCTCTTGCAGCCATGAGCTCAAGCCCTGCACATAGTAGGTACACAGCAAAGGCTCACCAGCCCTGCTGCCTGCCCCATGCCCCTCCCAGCCCTTGGGGAGCCAGTGTGGGCATTATCGGTGTCATGCATGTGCCCTTGGCAGGCACACTGTGAAGGGAATCCTCTGGGCTAGCACCAGCCACGAGGCACCACATGTCATAAGTCACCAGGACTGCTGAGTTCCAGGAGAGTTTCAGGCCCGGAGAGACGAACCCTAGGAATGGCCTGTTGGCCCAGATGTAGTTGCTACTTCTGGTGGCCCACCTGCCCAAGGATAGCCCTGGAGGCTTAGGCTGCTTCGGGGTCACCACAAGCGTCTCACCCAGGTCCCACTGAAGTCCCCCCAGAGATGCAGGAGCTGGCGCCGGCTCCTCTCCACAGTCATAGGGAGGTCTGTGGCCTTATTAAGTCTTCCGGAACAGGTGTGCGATTCACCATCAGTGGGGCTTTCTCTCTTAGGTTGCTTGCCTGCTTAATTTTTATGTCTCTGCAGGTTTTGAACTTTAAAAAGGTGTCTATAGTACTGCCACAGTCAGGAAAAGGTGCCAAATGAAAACTTTCATGCCCTTTCATTTACAGCCATGTGACCTGGGGCAACTTATAGCCTTCGGGCTCAATGTCCCCATCTGGAGATGGGGTGGATTTATAGGGGCTTCTGCCTGCTAGGAGTCTTGTGAGGACCGAAGGCACTGATGCCTGTGGCATGACCTGCGTGACATCTGGGAATCTGTCACTGCTATGATCATTGTCACTACCAAGAGTATCTGATTCTACTCTGGAGGAGTCAGTACCATTACCTCCGTTATTCAAACAGTAAGATGGAGGCCCAGAGAACTTTGGGGACCTGCCCAGAGTCACGGGGCCATTAGGAAGGGGAGTCAGGTTTCCTGCCTCACAGGCAGCAGTGAGGTCATATACCCACTGACACCCCAGGAAGGGTCTCCCCAGGTGGGAATCCAGCTGGGACGCACAGAAGCCTTACTTGCAAGGTCAAGGAGCTCGCAGATGTTTGCTGAGGCTTGGAATAGTCTTCAGACAGGTCAGGGCCGTCTGGCTGCTTAGGAGGCGCTGGCGAGGGTGAGGGCGTGGTGGGGTCCTCGTGCTTCTGACACTCCTTTATTTTAACGACCAAGTCACAGCATGTGTGGTCTCCTAGGAGAGATTCAGATCCCCTTTAGAGGGTACCAAGTGACTTGTGCCTGGTTTTCCAATGCCATGGGACACAAAAGGCCATTTTGAAAATGGAAACGCCCGAGGATTATTAATGGGCCTCGTTAAGCTGACAACATCGTGCCCCATCACAGACCCTCCAGCTGCCTGGGTCACGGGGAGGGATGTTCGCATTCCACCAGGCTTCACAACTGGCTAATTATGCCACAGAGCTATTCCCTCAGCTTCTGAGGTCTCCAAGGCCTAGACTTAAAATGAAAAGAAACTTCTATTCTGTGCTGCATGTTGTGTCCTGTGCAATTACCACAGTTCGGTTGCTTTAGGACAGTGTATTAATCTATCTTGTGTTTGCTGCACTAACGATATAAGGAGGGAAGACTGGTGTTCAATTATTTATCCCTCCCCTTAATTTGCCGGAGAGACCACTGGCTCCGTGTGAGAGACTGGCATGATGTCTCTCTCCACGCTGGGTTTTGGCCTCTTCCTAGGACCATTTTGACTTTCCTCAGTGGAACAAGTCAGGAAAAGCATTCACTCACAGCATCCGTCACTGGTGACTTACTGGCCAATGCCTCAGCCTGGAACACAACCTCCTTCAGTCTACCCTGAGCCCACTCACCACTGCATCTGCCTCCCCCTCCCCCAAGCTCCCTGGACCACTCCAGTGCTGAAACCTGACAGATTCTTCCTCACCTTTACCCCACGTGCTCTGCTGTCTCCGCAAATTCGGGTGACCTCCTACCCCAGGGTGAGTGCAAGCTTTCAGAAAGAGTCTCTCCCCTCCTAAGGCAAGACCCATCCCTGCCTCCACCCTGTCACCACTCAGCAGTATCCAGGACCAGGTGGGGTTGGAAGGTGCTGTCTGAAACCCATAAGCCTGTGACTCCCTCCAGGGCTGGACCATGTTACACCTACCCTGACCTCTCCATGGCACCAAGCGAGGTGCCCAAAGTGAGCTCGTTCTGTTGAGAGTGGAGAGGCGACCATCAGGGACTCACCTGGCCACAGGATGCGTCTCCCATGACTCTTCCTCTGAAGCCCCTGCTGTAACTGTCACCATTCATGCCGGGTCCCCTCTGGACTAGACTCGCCATCCGATTTCTACTCAAAACCCATCCCCAGTGCTTACTTCCCATGAGCCCCTGCCAACTGGACTATCCACAACTATTCATGGTGGGTGCACCTCCAGCTGCCACCTGTAAGCCTCTACCGCCACACACTGCTTGGTGGGGGAGGGATCTCAGGTCGTGCCCCTTCAATTCCCCAAACACTTGCTCCTGTTCTGCCCCAAGGGTTTCCCTGTGCCCCTCTTCCCTCTGGGCCTAACCACCAGCCCTCACCCCCTGCAGAGTTAATCCTGCCTCTGCCATGCTGCTGCCTGTGCTTCTTGGGAGTGTTTTCTGTGGCTTACCTGGTACACAGTTTCCATGCACGCTTCCCTCCCACCCTCCCCTCCAGCAGAGCCAGCACCCACGGGCCAGCCGTGACATCCCGTCCTCTTCCCTGCTCAGACAGAGACCTGCCCCTTGGATCTTGGAAGTCTCTGGGACTGTCTCAGTCCCTGCTTGGTCCCTCTCCCATCTGCCCTCCACATGGCTCACGAGACAGTTTCCTCCAGAGCAAATCTAATTACGTCTCTTCTGCTTCAAAGGCTTGGCTCTGCCTTCAGTCCCAACTCCCTTAGTGGGTTCAGCTAGGCCTTCCAACTCGGCTCATGAGCCCTTGCAGACTCATGCAGCCCCCACCCCTGCTGCGCCCTGGGACCCTGCAACCCCAGTCAGCTGTGTTCCCCCATCAAGCCTTCGCCTCGCATATGCCTTTTCCTCAGCCTGCAATGTTCGTCACCTTTGGGATAGATTTTTAAACCTCTAATGCACTTCCAAGTCCCTGCTGAAAATCATCTGCTCAGGGAAGACACCTCTGCTCAGACCCTCCTCAGAGTGCTGGGCTGTCCTCGGCTCCCCAGTTACCCACCACACAGACACAGCCATGCTGTGAACTGTCTCCTGCACTGAACTGTGAGCCTGGAGGTCAGGACATGCCCACCACAGCACCTGATCTACAATAAGTATTTAATAAGTGCTTCTCTGACGCATTAATGAATGGAGAGCTAGGGATTAACCTGGCCTCCAGGTAAATTTATTGCTGGGCACAGTGGCTCACGCCTGTAATCCTAGTACTCTGGAAGGGTGAGGCAGATGGATTGCCTGAGCTCAGGAGTTTGAGACCAGCCTGAGCAAGAGCAAGACCCTGGTCTCTAAAAATAGCTGGGCATTGTGGCAGGTGCCTGTAGTCCCAGCTACTTGGGAGGCTGAGGCAGAAGAATCACTTGAGCCCAAGAGTTGGAGGTTGCTGTGAGCTATGACTCCGTGGCACTCTACTGAGGGCAACAGAGTGAGACTTTGTCTCAGAAAAAAAAAAAAAAAGTGAATTTATCTTTATCAGTTACCATAACTAATTTAACTTTTACAACCCAAAGTTATATAATCTGGTATCTTTCTCCTTGTCATTTTCCATAGTTATCTGAGATTTGTAGCGTGAGAGGAAATCCAGATTTTGCTGCTGCCATAACGGGGCCCCCAGACCATTTTCTGCTTTGCTCTCCTGCTGTTTACAAGTCACGTCCACAGTGTTATTTAGTGGTGGTTGGCAGTGCGGCCTCTAGAAATACGTGAGTGAGTTCTAGCTCTTGGTTCCCTCCTCAGTGAGAGGCTGAGTTTGGGCCTTCCTGTGGGCATGTGTCCCACCTGGTAAGGAGGGGCACATGTGGGGGTCTGCCGTCCTCAACTGTCACCCCAGCTGTCAGTCATGGGGGCCTTAGGCAGCCTGGAGGACTGCTGCCTTTGAAACAGCCACCCAGACCTCTCATAATTGAGCCCAGAAACCCTCTGTGTGCCTGGGGAGGGGACCCTCTTCTTGGTCTCAGGAAGTACTGGCCTTTCACACAGTAGGACAGGGAGCCTCTGGCCCGGGGGGCTGCCTTCTGGATGCTCGGGAAGTGTGACTTGCCCACTGTGTAAACCTGCTGCCTCTGCCACCTCTCTGCTCTCCAGCTGGAGACGGGGGGCTTTGTCAGATGAGTGCGTGTGAACCAAGCCCAGGGAGACCTTGTACCACTCTCCACAGAAACATCCAGAAGGAATTATCTCAAGTGCCACCCTCACTCCTTACCTGTAGGGAGCTCTCTTTCTATCTGAGCACCAGGGTCTTCCTGCACAGATGTGCATAAATCTTGTAAGGGGCAAAGAAACCCAGGAAAAGGGATTCTGGGTTCCAGGGAGCTTTGATGTCGTCTCTCTGTGGGCTCAGAAAGGTCACTAGACTGACAGTCATCGCCTGGAGAACTGTCCCCATCGGGAAGGAAAGGTTTAGTGGGCTTCCGTTCCACTGGGGGGGCAGACAAAGCCACACGCCCTCTTCCTTGCTTCTCACTGCTTCCAGGGAATACGTTTGTGTTTACTAGAAACAAAATGAGAGTTGTGCTCAAAATATCTGCTTAGTCCAAGCTAAGGTACTGACTGCTGCTGCACACGGTGCTGGTTTAGGGACAGGATGATGAGGGCTACAGCATGACCTCAGGAGAGCGCATGCGTTTAGTACCCAGGGGCCACGTGGTCACACAACTTTCAAGGGGTGATGGTCATTCCTGGCAAGATTCCCAGGAAGGTCAGCGAGGGGCTCCGTTTGTACCCAGCGCTATCCTGCATTTGGTTCTAAAGCCTCCGTGCCCGGTGGTGCCCTTAGGAACTCATTTAATATTCTCTACAGTGAGCTGATTTGGCACCATGATTCTGTGACCCAAGTCCCTGGGTTCAAATCCTACCTCCACCATATTTAAACTATACAGCCTCATCTGTAAAATCTAGGTGAAGATTACCTAGATATTAAATATGATCTATTTATCATATAATTAAGTTTTCTGGAATAAACATATATTTATATAATAAACATTTTATGTAATTCATGTAAGTCAACTTTATATAACATATTTATATTACGTATTGAGATATCATTATTAACATGGAGGCAATGACATAATGAAATAACCCATGTGAAGAGTTTGGCACAGTACCTGCCCCTCAGTCAGCTTCTGAGAGACGTTAGTTGGCATCACTGTTGCAGAACACCGATGCCAAGTGATGAGCCAGGGCAGCTACACAGGCGGGAGGCAGCTCATTAGGAGGCTTGCCCAGCTCTGGGGAAGCGGTGATCGCAGGATATACACACACATGTCATTTGCCTCACGCTGTAACAGGGAAAGTCTGGAGACCACCTACGTCCACACCGGGAGGCCAGTTAAATGAGTGACGGTCAGTCTATGCTCTGTTGCAGTGAAGGAGAATGAGCTCTAGCGTAGAGGTGGGACAATCTGTCAGATACATCATTCACCAAACAGAGCAAGAGGTGGGCAGGGCATCAGGTGCACTTCCGCAGTAAATGCCTCTGTGCTCAGAATATCTCCAGAAGGCCCCAGAAGACAAGGAGGAAACCTTGCCTCGGGAGAGGGCGATGTAGGACCTGGAGCTGGGAGTGGACGGCAGTCTTTCCACCACCCATTTTATAATCTGGTTTCCTTTGTAACTTCTTTTCTTTTGGAATACTCTATACCTTTTCAACAGCTTTATTTTAAATGAGGCAATGACTAGTTGTGCCCCACCCCAAACTGAAGCCACCCAAAGGCTGTGGACCCCTGGAGAGAGCCAGTGCTGCCGGGAGGGATGTGTCCTCACCCTCCTGGGCATTAGGGAAGAAGAAAGAGAATAATAACAGTTGTCAGAAGATTGCTGCTGCCTTTTCTGAAATGTATTCTGTACAAAAAGGAACTGAGCTGCCACTAACCTGCTCAGATAATAACACCGACCTCTTGTAACCATTTCTGAGATGTGTATAATTTGTCCCTGAGTCTGATTTTTCAGCTAATGAGAGCAGCCTGGGAGTGGGTGTGAACAGGTCCGGCAGAACAAAGTCCTGGGAGCTAGGAAGTCCCCCAAGCAGAGGTGAGACAGCCCGATAGCGACCCTTTTCCTGATTCACCAAGAGGGTGAACCCGGCTTTCCATGCCCTTACACAAATAAATAAAATGCAGGTAAGGTGCCACTGGGTCCCTGTGTCAGGTACTCAGAAGCATGAAAACACGGCAAGTGTTACTCCCGCTTGTCAACTTCCCACATACTGTGAGTTGGCTTTGCTAAATTATACAGGAAATCCTTCTAAATTTTTATTTAAAAAATCATCAATGCTATTTAAGTATAAAATATTGTAGGTAGAAAACATCCTAAAAGAGTCATTTCTTGCTACATTGGGGCCTTTTATTAGGAGCTCTTTTACAGAGTCTAAGTTGGTTGCCAAAGGTGCAGTCTCCATCTGCCAGGTAGTAGAGATTCATCTGGGGTTAAATTCTTTAAATCAATGTATTTATTTATAGATTCAGAGAGATCATGCAATCTTTTCATCTATGTGTCTATTAGCTATCATCTATCTATCTGGTTTAATATAAATTCTTAGGTGAAGGATCCTGTGTTAGTCAGATGTTACACTTGTGACTTGAAACAGTTAAAACAACCCCAGGAAGTAGAACATAGTAGACTAAAGAAAAAAAAAAAAAATGGAGCCTGCAAAGGACTTGCCGGCAACTTAACAATCGGGTCTCTTCCTGTGGATTCTGAACTGTACAACCATCATCCATGAACTTGCCTGCAGTGGGGCCTTCCCAGGGCTGGCAGCTCGTGGGGTCTCTCATCCTATGTGCTCCACATACAGCCTGGACTCACAGTTCTCCATTCAGGCCCCGTATTTTAAATTACATCACCCCAGTGAAGACCTACAGCCACTGCAGGCTCAGCCCATCTGAAGGGAAGTGTGACAAAGAAGCAGCCCACGCGGGACAGGTCTACTTCTTAAACTGCCGCTCAAAGCCTCCCTCCTGAGTCTGCCACACAGAGAGGCCGGCACACCACTGCTCCCTTTAAATAGTAACATCCCGACGTCCCCTTTTCTAAAACTGGTCGCTGCTCCATAGCTCAACTATCCAGCGAGCTCGCCTATCCCAGAATTGAGCTCCTTACCAGGAGGCAAAGAAAAAACAAGAAAAAAGATCCCACCCAATAGTCATAAGTCCCTTCTATCAAACTCATGACCCTGACTTAGAGAAGAACCTTTCGGACCACTCTGATGTGCTCATTTATGCTTTTCTCGAGTTCATTTTTATTTGAAATGTATGATACTATTTATAGTTTCGAGACATTCAACAGGGCACTCACAAAACTGCTTCCTACAAGCAGGACATTCCCTGGCCTCGGACATCACCCTGGAGCTGCTCCGGGATGACACCCACCCACATTCTACCCAGACGCAACCACTTGCCCGAATTGTGGGTTACTCTGCTCACTGCTTTTGTTTCTGATCTTCCCATCTTTGTAGGTGTCCTTAACCGATATGTTTTCAGTACCAAAATCCTAAGTGGCAAGCACAAAGTTAGCTACTTTAAGGTAAGGACATCACCACGTTGGTTAGATAAAAGCTTCCAGAAGTGAGTGTAGCCGGTTGGCTGGGCCTTAGCTTCTCTGCAGCTTGCAGGTTGTGATTCTGGTGAAGACAGTGGCAAACCATGCGTGAGTCCTGGACACAAAGGGCTGGCCATGGCTGGCATCAGGTGGGATGGCGTGTGGCCAAGCGTGCTGGCTGTAGGAACAGGGTCGGGGAGGGGCTGCTCCTGATTTTCTGACCCTGACCTCACTGTGTTCAACTCCAGGTCTCAGAAGCAAGTGGGAACAAGATACTGCAGTGAAATACGGGCCTGGAGCCAATCAAGCAGGATGGGGGACAGAGGATGGCAGACTTTCAAAGACCTCACAATACATTATCGAGACAGTTGAGAAGAGGCATGACCCGGGACAGGTAAGGACATCACCAGCCTGTGTGATGGTGTCCCATCATCAAGACACTGCCTCCATTGGCCAGAAAATGTCATCATAAACCAATTTGATAGAAAAAGATATTTTACTGCTTCTTTCCAAATATTATACCAATCTCTGATGTTCTCTGATGAGCCTCTCCTGAGCCAGGGGCTCCCCATAGGCGCACTCTTCCAATATCTGTGGGGATGTTGTTCACAGCATGAGACTCAACAGCCCGAGTGGTTGCCAAGGAGAGAGACCAGCACAGCAGCAAGCCTCTGCCAGTGAAATCTCACAGGAAAAGCAAGAACACTGAGAAAGACGGACACGTGAGCCCAGAGAGGGCAGCCGTCTGGGGACGTTTAATAGCCTCAGGCGGGCCAGTAACATAGAGAACTCAGTTTAGGGTCAGGTATGTCCCAATCAGTTCTTGTGAAGGTGCTTCTGTTTAACAGATAAAACTTCAGTGCTCTAGAATATTGGTTAGAGAAAGATCTTGGAAGATTTGGGTCATAGCTCTGTGAAGCTTTCTGACCTTTCAGAACAGACTTCAACCAACCCATCAACCAAAGAGCTGCTTCTAACAAAGCAGGACTTCTCCAGCCCAGGACACACACTGCCTCCCTCGTTTTAAAGTTTCCAGTGGTGACGTTTTCTCACCTTAGAAGCTGGATCATCCTACAGCTCATTGTTTCCTAGAAATGCAGTAACTAAAGTCTGTCTCTGGCTACCCAGACAAATGTCAGTCTCTAAACCCAGCTGTGGGGCGGGCTCCGAGTCTCCCAGCAGTTGTAAAGTTACTCCCCATGACCTTCAGTCGTCTGAAACTGCCTTCTTCCTTCAACATCTATCTCAAGCTCAGGTCTGCATTTTCTATTTTTTTTTTTTTTTTGAGAGGGTCTGACTCTGTCACCCTGGGTAGCGTGCCATGGCATCATCACAGCTCACGGCAACCTCAAACTCCTGAGTTCAAGTGATCCTCCTGCCTCAGCCTCCCAAGTAGCTTGGACTATAGGCACCTGCCACCACACCCGGCTAATTTTTCTATTTTTAGTAGAAACAGGTCTCACTTTTTCTCAGGCTGGTCTCAAACTCTTGAGCTCAAGTGATCCACCTGCCGTGGCCTTCCATGGTACTGGGATCACAGGCATAAGCCACTATGCCTGGCCTAGGTCTGTATTTCATGAACATCCTACATGTCCCCTTTCTCCCTCACCTGTAGGTTCTCTTCTAGCAAATCTGAGACTACAGCATCTTCCTCGAAACCAAATAAGCAAGCTTGGTAGCACTGGGTGTCCGTCAGAGGGAACCCACTCTGTACCGGCACCTCCGGGTGAACTTGGGACTCTCCTGGCTTTCAGCAGAACCGTGCTGTCCCCTCTTCTGGTGCTGGGAAGCCAGGGGCTGCTCCAGCAGGGGGTAAGTCATTCTTCAGCAGGGGACACAGAGGACACGGAAGAGGAAGGAAGGGGCGCAACCACAGGCACACAATAGGCACATAGCTTTTCAAGCAAGCATTTTTTTGCTCTGTTCTTTTCCTTTCAGAGGAGAGAGAAAAGCTGA